ATACAAAAGATTTAACAGAACGAGTAGGACCGTGGACCTAAGATTGGTGGTAAAGAAGGCTATAATAAATCCAATCTGTAGCGTTTGAGAGACGAATGTCTTAAGAAATAAATGAGAATAGAGATGTAAAGTGTGACGTCATAAAAAATTACATTTGTGAAATTATGGGATTTGTCTGAATATTTTGAAAGAAAAACATCCAAGAGACCTACTTTCCAAAAACTAGCATTGTGGGGCAAATTGTGTCTGAGATATTAGCCCAGTTATGCTCTGATGACTCCATACAAATCGTTCTAAATTTGACTTTGGTCTGAACGTTTTTAATTTCACAGATTAAATTTTTATGACGTCATCACTTTAGAACTCTACAGGGTTCCTAATGTCTTTAGCCAACTTGAGAATAAACTAACGGCTTTGTCTAAAAGGTAATAATTCACCGTGAAGCGATTCAGAATCTGATTTTCCCGCTTTTATGGCCTATTTATAAGTTAAGCAAACACTTTCGAATGTTCGACCTGCTCTCATATAGATAAAAGTTATGACTTGTGTCCGATCTCTTACTTATCAGTGCTCCTATAATGACTTCTTTGTTTATGCGTTTCAACAGATGAATATGGACACCACCCCGCTGGAGGCTGGGTTAGACTTCTTTATCAAATTTGACAAGGTAAAGTTACACTCAAGCTGCATTTTGTTACTTGAGAAGAAAGGAGATACCATATTTTCTCACTGCATTTACAGGGGCATAAATGTGGCTTAGTTTGCCCCTTGCTAACTCTTGAGTTATTCTCCTTCGGTGGTTTATTGCAGTCAAGTTTGCTATGATTCGCCTCGGGCATAAATAACACCAAGAGAAAGAGAGATTGTGTTCAAGGATTGTCCTATGTCTTCAACATTTTGCAGAGCAATGATCATCGTCGTCGTCATCATCTTCTTATCAATCATTATCTTTATCATTGTCATCGTAATGGTCTTTGTTATTGACATTTTTATTATCATTATTATCACTAATATTAATAATCGGTTGTTATTTGTAAAAGGGTGATTTTATTGGGCGAGAAAATTTACTGAAACACAAGGAAAATGGCATCAACAAGAAGCTGTGTATGCTGACGGTAGAAACGACTGATGTGGACCCCGAAGGAAATGAATCTATTTGGTTTGGAGGAAAGGTAATTATCGGGGACAGTTTTCGTCATTTTGATCTTGGATCACGGAAGATACTTTACTGCGAGAGCTCGGTTCTCCAGTTCTGCTGGTCATATGACTTGGCAATCCACCACCTTCCCTCCCTCCGTCTTTTTTCCCTCGTCCCCTCTGCGATGCAAAAAGGTTTTTTTTCCACTGTCGTAGATAATCTACTTGACGCTTCCCCTCAAATAAACGCCTCTCTAGTCAGTTTCCAGGGCTCAGTGGCATTGAACAAGGGCAGACTAAGGATAGACTTAAGCTAAGTGCAAACGGACGCAACAACTCCCAACATTGTTGAGAGTTTTGGGCGAACAGTAAATTGTAATCTGTTTACCCATGGAGCTCTTAGGAGGTTTTGAGATCCGTTGAAACGTGTCCTTGCGTTCCAGATCGAATTGGAATTTGCAAGAGTTGGTTTTTAAGGAGAGGGGCAAACTGGCTTACCCAGAGAAAAACCTCTCGGAGAAAGGGAGAGAAACAGCAGCAAGCTCAAACCACATATGGCATCGACGCTGGGGGTTCGAACCCCGGGCCACGTTGGTGGCAGGCGAGTGCTATCACCATTGCGTCACCCTTGTTCCCCAGTATAATCCGATTTTTCCCAACCAAGCTAATGCATTCATAATTTGTCTGCTTGTGTTGTAGGTTGTTGGTAATACAACTTCTGGTGCATATAGCTACAGGCTTCAGAAGAGTATATCATTAGCGTACCTGCCACTGGAGCTGACAGAATTAGGATCCCGAGTAGAAGTGGAACTCTTAGGTACAAAGTGTCCAGCCACTGTTGTCAAAGAGCCATTGTTTGACACAGAACCTGTCCGTACGAGGAGGCAATTGAAGGCCGCTAAACAAGAAAGAGCTTTGTAAGTAACAAGCTTAAGACAAATTATATTTAAAAGATTTATCCTATCTTCTCGAGACTATTTTCATGAAGGGCATATATCTCATAATTAGCAAACTCGGTGACTGTGTTGGGACCTGTTCTTATTGTGAACGATGTATGCTGTCCGTAAGAGTAAAGTAGTTCCTGTAGTTAGAATTTTTGTACTCTGTAGTTAGAATTAAAACTAGTTGGGTAGTTTTCAAATAGGGCTTGCTGTCATAATAATAAAAGTCATAGGGTATTATGGTAAGGTTGGTTAACTTGGAATGAAATTTCACTGATGACCACACTCCTTCCAGGTTCCCTGCGCCTCTGCTAGCAGGGAACCTTTGAGGTGACCCCTGTTAAAAGTACGGCGTTTAAATATGGTTAACACCCGCATAGAGCGGTTTTCACTTGACTGTCGTAAAACCAAAACCAAAGTAAATACACTAGCCAACCAAAGGGCGTAGTAAAACCAAAACCAAACCAATTCCTCAATTACTTTCGACAGTCAAGTGAAAACCGCTCTAAAAGAACCAGTGATTTTGTGTTTCAGGCTTACGCGTAAGTTGTGAGAAATTTAGCCGGAAAGGTTCTTAAGAGATTCTGAAAATTTTGTACAGTATCTATTGTTGGCTTCTTTAGGTGCTTTATTAGCTAATTTTCAGCCTGCAGGTTCTTAATCCACTTTCTTTATGCCGGTGTTTACGTTGTTAAGAAAGCCTTTCTTTGACGTAGTTTGATTTAGCGTATTCGCGAAAAGACTGCATGAATCGATTAAGTCCTTTGCTGAGCATGCGCTGCGTGTTGTTTGAATACACTTTCGATCCCAGGCGCAATAGCCTTCCGCTTGGTTCAGCGGGCTCAGTTATGACTATCGGTTCATCAAAAAAGGGATCCTCGCTTTCGGAAAACCAGTTTGACGGTAGAGAACAAGATTGACAAGTCCAGAAGTGTGGACTTAAGCGACGTAAAGGCTTGACGTGATTCAGGTAGAGCCTTCTTTTTTCATCCTCAGTCAAGAAGAGTAAAGGAGGTTCTGCTACCAGGGTATTTTACTGNCGAGGCGGTGGGACGGCAGGAGAGGGGCACGGAGGGCGAAGACGAAGGGAGCTATGGGCGACAGGTGGTGGCAGGGAGTGGGAGGTCGGAGGGGAGGCGGAAGGGATCGAAAGGTATTGTGGGGGGTCACTTAGGTGAAGTAACATTGAAAGGGGGGATCGGCTAAATTTCACCTTGTTTAGCCCCAAAACCTTCGCCCCCGCCCCATCCCCACCTCCCCTCCCCTCCAAGCTATAAATAATGACCGGTCCCTTAGCAGTGATTTTGTTACAAATAGTTATGGTGGGTCCTGGGACTCATCTTGTGAAAAATCATGAGTCCCAGTCCAGAACCATTTAGTCCCAGTTCAAAAACACTAGTCCCTGGGTGTGTATGTAACCACACAGTTAACCTAAAACTCTGTATTACATTTTACTGAAATAAAAAATTTACTTTTTCTACTTTCAAGCACATCAAAGCCCAAAGGAATATGCCCCAGAAATCACACAAACGGGATATTCTTCACAAACATCTTCAGATCGATCAGTCGATCTTTATACCACAAATTTTCCGTGAGGTAACAAAATCACTGAGTTAGCCATGGTAGCCTAAATGAGTCTTCGACAAAACTTGAAGCAGGTTGAATTTAGTTTAAAATAGGTCAGTGGTCATTTTAAGGATTAGTCAGTTGTAACATGGTCAGTCGCAAAACACCGGCCGATTTCCACTTGTGTACAGTAATTAAACCCTATGACGAGGACACGTTAGAAAATGTTCACTCATATAAAGGTAGTAGAAGTTTCAGATTTTAAAATAAGAGGACGGTGATGGGTTGGTGTTCTTTCTTTATCAGATAGGCGAGATGGCGGAAGGCGCGTCGCGCGTGTGTTGCGCTCCACGTCAGCTTCGCGCTTACCTTTGCATACCACACGAAAAAAATAACGCCTATACTACAGGTTACATATTCATTGTCAGTTAGTCAATTCTGCAACTGATAACCTGAAGCATCCACAGAAATAGTGGTTTATGAATGTCATATGGCGAAATCTTTGTAAAAACTGTACATTTTATAGCGATAGTAAGTATGGGTAACAACTTAGATTGCTATATTATTTACCACTGATCCTCAAATGCTATCAGTATAATGGACAAAAAAGTTGCTTTTAGATTTATCACTGCTAAAAAGCTGTAAAAAGCAAACAGAGGTAAATACTTTATAATAATCTAAATACTTTAGAAAATTAGTTAGAATGCGGTTTGCAGTGAAACCTGCACAACTAGAAAATTATTGGTCGATTTGTAAACTTTGTAACCTGTTTTTGTGTTGCCTCCATGTTTGTTGGTGTAGGTTCGTTTTGTGAAATATATCTGTGTCAATAAAGACGCCCTACAAAAAAATTCTCTTGGTTCAGTGTAAGTATCAAGTAACCTTTTGTGTAGTTGGCCTTGTAACAGACTTATAGTAACTAAACAATGAAGAGAGTTAACCAAATATTAACCTTGGGATTTTGGTTGAAAAGCTGAGCTGTCAAACTAGGACATGGCTTCTTGTATTCTCTTTGAGGCTTTTGATACACTGAAAAAACATTTCTTTCCAAATTAAGCTGATCTGTTACTTTGCAAAATAATGAAGTACAGTCTAACCTCTCCTTACGGACACCTCAATACGGACACCCCTCTATTATTTGGTCCCAGAAACGCCAAAAATCATACATTCCCTACCTCTATAATACGGACACCTCTGTAAAGCGGTCCCTTTGGTGTCCGTATTAAAGAGGTTTGACTGTCTAAATTACTCTACAAGTTTCATCAACAAAATAGCATGTTGAATTCTCTCAACTTTTTTATTAGTTGTTCAATCGGTTTGTCCTGTGGTACTGGAAGCGCGTAACACGTCTGATTGTTTCGAAGCCAGTTCGTCTCCGCTGTTATTTCTCTTCTCTCTTCATCTCAACCTCCCACACCGTCCCCCCTCAACCCCCCACACCCTCCCCACACCCTCCCCCGTGCCTCCTTAAAACGTATACTGAGAGACGAAACTGAAGCAATATGTATAAAAAGATGATACTCAACTTATGAGAAAAGTTTTCAGCGGTTTAATTTATTGCATTATCAGCTTCTACAAAGCTTCCGGTGTCGGATTTTTTACAAATAATTTTTATACACTTTTACTTAAATCATATGAAAAGCATTTTGCAATCTATCAGAATGTAAGACATTAAACGATCAAAGCTTAATGATTTACTTTGGTTTGTTTGTCGATGAAATCTTTAAAACTGATTGCGTTCATTTAGATGCACCAAATAAAGTCAAAATCCTATTGGTGTTAAGCAGTCATCCTAAAGAGGCTGGCCTTTAAACAGGTTTTGTGTAAACAGTGATTAACTAACTGTCTATATTTTGTCTGTAAATGAAAGCCTTACTTTGCTGAGCTAAATTCGCTTTCAAATTTCTTTTCTAGACCGTACTGCACAAGTTTAAGAAAAGCGATCAAAAGTTTTTGCGCTCTTTATTCACATTTTTAGGTACACTAATCACTTAATAACCAAATGACGAATTGAAAAGCGGGTATAAAAGTTGCTTTTTCACTAGCAAGTTTGACAACTTTACCCTGGTAGTTTTAAGGAACAAATTATTCCTTCAGAAACAATAATATTCTACCCGTGGGTCTCAAAAGTCAATCTCCCCCGCCACCGCCCCCGAAAGATTAGGCAAATCCACTCTGAACTCCACTATTCCTTGTCTAAGGAAATAGTACCGCCTAAACATGATATGCCATGTCCAAATTGCAACCTGGAGGTTCCTGATCACTGTTTCTTTTGAGCCGAGAGCGTTTACTGTATACCAAGAAAAACTTATCGAACTGCTAGTGTAAATTAGGCGTGAATTGAATTAAAACCAAGAATAAAACAAATCCTTTCGTTCCAAACAGCGCAAGTTTGGTTCGCGTCCGTTTCTAGCAGGCTTTAATCGGAACTGCGGAGCGTTTCGCGGCCAACTGCTCTACTTCTTCTTCTGTGGTCTGTACTTTTTGCTGCTGCATAGTCTTGCTGCTCAAAGACAGATCGGCCCACTGGGTTTCTATCTTGCGAAGAGCGGTGCTGAATGGGCGGCCGCTGGTAGGCTCAAGATTCTCCCAATGAGAGCGACGGGCTCTGAAACAAAGCAGTAGCAATGATTGGTCAGACCTGTTTTACCCTGCGGCAGAGTTTTTTTTCCCAGCATGGTTTTAAGAAGCATGTGCTTTCAACGTTGGCTGTAAACAAACCAACCAAACGAAATGTCAAAACTATGCGGAAAGAAAACTCTGCTAGCTGGGTAGACTTGTTTTACAGATTAGCACCATTTTTAACCCCGCAAAATACACTAAAATACATTAGATATTGATTTTGACGATTTTGGTCGAATTTTCAGTTTACAGTTTGTTCTTCGCAGAAATCAATTACGGGAAAAATTATCAACTTTGGAAAAATATACCAGACTTTCGCCCCAGCACTTCGAATAAACGACAATTGAACCAAACGGGGGTTGCTGTGTTGTACGTTGCCTATTATACTTTTCCAGTGGTTAGGAAACCTCCGCGCTATCTATTGTTGAGGGCTTGTGAAGCTCGCTTGGCTTTTTAACGAGAGGACCAAGACACTGTTCTTTCTCTGTAGACAGCAGTTTATTCTTCAAAAGCTTCTGACAACAACTCTACTACTCAACTAACTCTACTAGCTTACACAGCGAATTAAATAACTAAATTGTAGACTTGTTTTGAGTTAGCTGACCGGAAGACTTTCTATTGAATACCTTATCGCCTATATCGCAACAGCTTTGCTATAGTAAGATAAGCCTACACAGCCGCAAACGACAATACCAAAGAACCAATTAAATGCTAACAGTGAAACTGCCCAGAAGGACAAAACATACAAAACAGGAACTCGACTGTGGGTAAAACCTAAGGTCAGCTGTACTCGCCAAACAAGCCTACTTCAAAGAACCATAAGCTAAGTTTAAGAAACACTTCAAATAGATAATACAAGACAAAAACTCAGGAACTGACCATATGGGGAAATACATTGAATCTTTAAGTTTCTAAGTCTATAACACTCTATAAACTGTTTATCATGAAGCTAGCAAAATCTTAAAAATAGCAAAACTGAAAAACAAAACTAAAAGGCAACTACCTCATAGAGCGGTTTTCATTTGAGTGTCGAAAAGTAATTGGTTTTGCACTTTCTACACGATGCGATTGGCTTAAAAGATTCGCGCCACCTTTTCATCCAATCAGAAGTAAGACCAAAGCCAATTGTGACGCGCTTTTTGCGTCAGCCACATGTAATTACTTCGAGTTTTGATTGGTTCAATGTATTGTCTGTGTCCTATGTGATTGGCCAGAGTAATTACTTTGGTTTTGGTTTTACGACACTCAAACGAAAACCACTCTAACACTATAAATGCAACCAGCTGACATTTACTGTACACTGTGTCATGGCCAAGGTCGAGCAGAGGCACATTTTTTCAACTATCGTTCCCTGTGCTATGCATTTCGCCCGAATTCGAAAGGAGTATTTGCAGTATCAATCAATACCTCCGCCCTTACTCTGAGTTGTGCTTCTCCCTGTCGGGAGGTAATTTGGGTCTCCTGTTACGTTTATCGAGTGGAAATAGTGTGATTGCATCCTACCTGGCCCTCACCCACGGATATGTATGCTGGCGGAGGGCGTATCCCCATAAGCCGTGCTTCTCACTGGCAGGAGGCAATTTACCACGTTCCTCTGAAAGCTAAATGAGAGATAAATGGAATTTATTGATCATGAACCGGTTAACTTTCTATACAACCCTCCCCCTGCGCCCCCCGAAAACAACAACAACAAAACGATCAAAATTTGGCGAAAATTCAACTGACTAATTACTCCCAGTAATTCTTTATGCTGAGAAGATTTCCTCTAAGGGAAAACAGCGGTTGTTGAGGGGCGTGGAGGAGGGGGATTGTTGGACAGATACTGGAGAAAGATAGAGAATTCACGATTTTCTGTCTACTCACAGGGTACTGAGAAATTTATTCCCCATATTCATCATGCGCTAGAAAGCTGTCTTTCAGCCCCTGTCACATAAAAATAGCGATGGGAAAACTCAAATCGATTAGTTTAGCTTGTTCAGTTTAACCGTTACGTAAACCCACAGATAGTTCGGGTTGCGTTCTTGGGGACAGATGAGTGTTCTTAGGACAGATGAGTTATAAAAATTTCTAGTGTTTAGCCTTCTTGTAGGGTTCTCAAACTTTCGAGGTGAGGATTTTAGCCTACTCTTGGGTATGTATTTGACTTGCCTCTTCAGCGATAGCTCGGACATGATATGGTTCCATTCCACAGCACGCTCCGATGTAGCGAATCCCCATGTTGTATGCATCCCTAGCATATTTCTGCGTTTCAAATCGAGTAAGGACGCGGGGCTCCAACGCTAAAAGACAACAGCCTCAGATAAGAGGTTTGTTATTTGCAGGTCATTAATCGACTAAAATGGGAATCAAGTTTGGCACAATGTGAGATTCGACGTTTGAACTGGGCCTAAAAGTACTCTGGATAGCCTAAAAAGTGTTTTCAATGTATTTAGGAGGAAACCGGCGCTGAATGCCCTGCAATAAGTCCGGCTAGAAGCAGAAGGCATTTGATAGCCAGTTTACTATAGTTACTGTAGATTTCATTGACTCTACACGTGCGATTTTCCCCAAGAAAAATGAAGAGAACACATTAGAAATGCAAAAAACCGCAAAAAAGGTATCCAATATTTCTAATCGCGTGTGGGTCTACAACGTCCGCTAAATTGGGTTTGAAAACGCAAATGTGATCAACAAAGGTGACTACCAAGCGCGGATAGCCCTTGGGTCATGGCATACTTCTAAGACTAAAATTCAATGCCATTACGTAGACACTACTCTCATTTGATTCATTTCAAATAGCTTCGTGTGTAAGTTCATTCGCACCGTAATTTTTACTCTACATTTCATGAATTTACATGCTTTTCCTCATTTGTTAAATGCTGCAGCCTGGTAGTTGAAACGTTTATCTGTTTTTATGGTTTCCAAGACATTTTTTAGCCAAAGGGCGTATTTTGTTATTATTATTATTATTATTATTTTTTTTTACGAAAACTCAATAATTTGAAAAATCCTTTTGACATTTTGACTTGGCCTTGATGAAAAGTCTCTTGTTTTTCGTTTGAATCACCAACCCAGCCCAAGTTGGGCTGGCCCCTTCGCTGATGTTAGCTTGAAAGTTCTGGTTTTTCCTTGTGAACAAAACATCGAGAAAACCTACCAAATGGGAACTCTGCCAGCCCACTCATGCCTTTCTTAATCTCTCCATTGCTGCTGTCGTCAAGAAATTCCGGAGTCTTGTATCCAATTGGCTGAACAATCAGATGACGCTTTAATCCCGCTTTCTCTAAGGCCTCTTTAATGGCGGCCATAGCTTTCAGACACACGTCTGGACCCCAGAAACAATTGACTCCGATAATGTCGGCACCTAGAACGAATGGTAAAAGAATGGTAGCTTGAATCGAGCCTCGTGGGATGAGTAGACGCGTTAACTCAGTCACATGAAGAGTGATTTTAACGAAGCAAATTTATATGAGAGACCCTAATAGGTTTTTCGGAATGTGAGATTTGTCTTTTTTGAACACCTGGATTCGGGATATTTCTCAAAAAATCTAAAAATTGCCCTTTGCCGATTTTTGTCATCGAATTTTGCATTACAGGTGTAAATGGCCAGATTTGGTTGTTTTATGCTGAAAAGTGAGGAAAAAAGCTGGTACTTTGCTTATCCCTCCCCCCCCGGGAATTTTGCCGAAAAACGCGTTTTAAAGCTGGTCGAGCGGTTTTCTAGTCAGTTTTTTTTTTACCACAGAGCTGTGTACAGATCGTACAATTCGCGGCCTTCTGATCCAGATGTAAAATATTTGCTTGCGAAGTTCGGGCATGCGCAGAAAGCAAAACTTCTTTTCGCTTTCTCTCCCATCTTCTTTCGATTTTCTTGCCTCATTTTTTTTCTTTTGCTGGGCATTTAGTATTTAGTAGGCTTCATTTTGGAGAGAAAAGTCTGCGAAAGCTGGTAGGATCTTAGGATCAGATGAAAGGAAAGGTGGGTTGGTGGTGAAACAAGATTTACATGGAAATTTTCGGGTCAAGTTTTTCCCCCTTTTTCTCCGGTCTCCTCGACTGAATCGTACTCATTCTGGTATAGATGAAAAGATCCCTTCACTGTGCACAAGTTAACGGACAAAGCTGTCCTTGACCGTTAAACCTGATGACGTCACAAGCGGTAGAACGGATCCCGCGCACGGGTCTTTTTAGGCGGTTCAGGGGCGAATGGGTTAAAGCAAGAGACGAGATTCGGAAAAAGTGTCCTTGGGATGTGGGATTGTCGAAAATTGAAATAATCATCGGAATTGCGGGATTGAGCGAAAATGTAGGTTGGCATTACGGGATCGGAGGCCGTATTGGCACTCCCATATAACATCTTTCTTAACTAATGCATCATATTTGAAAGAAATTCCATGTACCTGCTTGAGCGATTCTAACAGCACATTCATCGATAGGCACTTCTTCCATGTCGCCAGCCGTACATACGCACATGCACATGGCGACTGGTTTACCTGTGGCCTTCATTACTTCAATCGCCCATTCTGCCTCCTCCACGTAGAAAAAGAGCTTAAAAAACATATAGTTTTGTCTTAGAAGTCTTAATAGTATGGTGCACTTTTGATATACATTTGACTCCCAATAACTTCGAACCCTTGCTAACTCGAACCTCCCTCTGACTCGAGCTAAAGTCAATTTCCCCTGGTTTTCCCTCATACATTTACTTTAATTTTACCCTCGGTAACTCGAACCGTGTTTTTGGCGCGTGACAAGTTGGAGAAAAACTGAAGTCCGAAACATTGAATTTATTTCTAAACAACCGTGTCAGTTCTTTGTCTTTACTTTTTGTCACTTCAGTTTAAATTCAATGTCCATCCCTGTATATTAATCAAGCTTTGTCACTTAATTCCTTTTTCAAAACATCAATCTTGAATTTTATTTCTTGCTCCTCTTAAAGTGAAGTGTGCATATTTGCATTCCCTCCCCATCCATTTAGTTTATTTGTTTCGAACTCCCGATTACTCTTATTTTTTTCGATTTCCCTAGAAGGTTCGAGTTATCGGGAGTCGACTGTAGATAGCTGGATATCAAAGTGGTGTTAATTTCTTTTTGCTAAGTGCGAACGTAAGTAATCAGAGGCAGTGTGTGATTATCTAGCAAGGGTTCACCAGATGCGATGAATTAGTTGCTGGCCGATGTGGAAAAAGGGTTCACTGCAAAATTAAGGACAAGCTCAAGAATAAAAGCGACAAGTATGACTTCGTACACTTATCGATCTTGTTCAAAAAGAGACAAGTATTGATGACCTGCTTCAGAAAAACCTGCAACATTTCATTTATCTCCAACCTCGCCTCGTCCTAAGGGGCTTTTTTCTTGGAATCTAGGAGGGACATTTTCCCGCTCGCTCCTCCCTTATTATGGGAAAACCCTTGGAGACAAGTTAATGTGGAACATGCGGGGCCATGGAGTCCAAGCACGCGGATCTTTTAGTGCCAAACTGGCATTTTAAAGTAAGTGTACTAAAATAAATCTTTTATGAAGAGGTTACCTCTCCGATAAGAAAATCCACATCGTTCTTGACAAAAATATCAATTTGTTGTTGAAACTCCTTCTGTACAACCTCTTTACCAAGGCCAGACATGTACGATGGTGTCTGAGAGATATTTCCCGCCACAAGCGCGTCACCCTCGTTGGCCACCTCACGCGCGAGCTCGCAGGCAGCTTGATTGATTTCTGTGCACTGAAAACCCAAAAACATACATAAACTGCGTCACATCTCCATCTCCTTTCACTATTCTTCAGAGGGGGTGAAAATCAAGCGCGAAGTGTTTAGAGAAAAAGGTGAAACGCAACTTATCCAAACCCGAACATGTAATTCAGTGCCGTTCTGGGCAGTTGAAGCCGGAACGCTGCGGAACGCGGGGCAGTCTGGAGACTCGATTGAAAACGTCTTGGTGTCTAGGCGAAGTAATGAGAATTCTGAAGACGCAAAAGAAATAACAATGCTAAAACAAATTCTAAAAAGGCTATGTATAAAAGCTACAGAAATCTTTTGAAAACTATCGTTACTTACCCCAATTTTGTCAGAGGCTGTGTTCCCGCGATTTCCTAACTTGCTATCACTAGCGTAGAAAGTGAAGGTCTGCATAACATCAGCGCCAGCGCGAAGAAATTCTCGATGCAACTGTCGCACTGAAAAACAAAATTTTACTTTGTTTATATAAAGGGCTATATCAAGGGGGAAGGGTCATGATCTAATTGGGTCAAAAACTCAAAGCGTCCAGCTTACCTTTCAGCAAAGCACAGTTATTTTGATTATTGATTCATTGCAGGCACTATCGATCTTCCCATTTGCTAAGGTCCTACAGTTAATTTTGGAAATCAGCGCAATCTTCAGATTACTTTGTTATCTGCTAACAGATAAATGCACTTATCTTGACCTTGATTATGCCGGATATCACAAAAACCTCATCCAATAATTGTTTATAAGTAAACTTGGACAAAACTAGGCTTTTGTACATTTATACTTTTGTTTTCCCACTAAAATGTTCTATCTTAATGTTCCATTTTTCCAACTAAAATGTTCATTCTTCCCCCAAAACGTTACTAAAATGCTCAGACAATACTCATTATCTGACGAATTTCATCAATTTAAATAAACGTTTTAAGAGGGTTTAATGCTGACAACAATGTATGCAAAGTGTTTTCATACACCAGAAGAGGTCTCTCAACACGGCCGTATCGAGGAAAAATTTGAATTTTGTTTTGAATTGTAAATTGAGTCGTCTTTCTCTCGTGAAAATATACAAAGGCCTAATTAAAGGACAAAACTTGAACTCAATTTTCGCCACCGTAAAATTCCGAAAATAAGCCCCGAGGCTTATATTTTTCAAAGGCTCTTTTTGAGGGGCTTATTTTTGGAGGGGCTTATATTCGGAGGGGCTTATCTACGGAGGGAAATTTGCGTTTCAAAATCGATTGGGCTAGCCTTATAGCTGGGAGTATATCTACCATTTTTGCTTTGTTTTACTTTATATTTGAGGGCAATTTTCCAAGTACAAGCCCCTGGGGGGCTTATATTTGGAGGGGCGATTTAACGGAAGGGTTTTTGCGTTACCGGTTTGGGGGGCTTATATTTGGAGGGGCTTATACATGGAGGGGCTTATTTTCGGAATTTTACGGTATTTCCGGAACTTTAACAGGACAAAATACACATGGAAATCACATGAACTTCAGCGGCACACGCGCCAGTGCATCCTCGGATACCCAGGGGCAGATAGTGGGGGCGAGGGAAAGTCTAAACGGGCGGGAAAAAAATTTCTGCTCCTATCGCCTATTACCGTAAAATCCCACGTTTAAGCCCTAGGCTTATATAACTTCAAAATGTTTAAAATGTCAGCAAGTTCACAGCAACAAACCAATGAGTGGTGCCGGATCTCCCGGTTGTAGACCCGGATCAGTACAATTAAACTTGTAGAAAAATATGAAACGGCAAACTGATCCTTACGGCAAGGCGATGAAGAAGTAAACAAAAGAATAAGACAAAAATATATATTTAAACAAATTGCCCATGGGCAATTTGTTGAAATATATATTTTTTAATATATATATATATTTCTTGTATACACTTATGCGACTGGAACAACTGGAACGGAACACCGGAACGAAAGTGAAAAAAACTACAAGCCTTAACGTTATCAATTTGTCTGCCAAACTGCCGGATGGTAGCTTCCTGCTTGCTCTGGTACTCCAAAACAATGGAGTTGAACAGTTGTATTGGAAATGAACGGTGGAACAGAACTGGTAACGTTGTTATATTTGCATGAACATTTGTTTCTTTCTTTGGTATCAATATAATTATGGTTCTAAGCTGCACAGCCACTTGTTTATGCCTATAACTTTAGATTGAAAATTTTGATATTTGTAAAGAAACGTAAAAGGAACGCACTTATGCATAAAAAAAGAGCCTTAGCAACGGGGGGGGGGGAAGGGGCTTATATCCGGAATAATGTTTTCGTCAGCGGAAATGGATGGGTTTATATCCGGGGGCTTTAACGTGGGATTTTAAGGTATAAGACAACAGCTCTTTATGGATAAAGAATGAGAGAGTTTATATTGACCTATATTATAATCGCCTGACTTAATTTTGGATGCATTTATGTAACACCAACTTTATATAGCGCGGCCTTTTAAGGAGTTCATTCAAGAGGAACACTTCAACTTTACAACTTTCATCACGCAGTACAACTACTTCAAACGAACTGGGGGAACTGGAGACGTATCATGAAAAAGACAGAAATCTTTCACTAATTGTCAGGCCAGGCATGAAAAAATATCATTACTACTTGACAATTTGTATATCTTTGCCCTTACAAACATGACATGTCAAGCCCCGCTTGCCAAATAATCAATGTAAAACTGCGGTTAGTTGAATTGTTCAATTTTTTTGGCTACTGAAACTAGTTTTACGGGTTAAAACTGGCTTGCCTTGTCAGTCTGGCCATGTAAACACGGTTTTGTTTTGATTTTATCTCACGCAATATGAAATAGATTCAGTGGTGTTATTTTCTCATTTTGACGACATTCCCAGTTTTATGTTGAAAAATTTGAATCTCAAACGGGTGTTTTAATGGTCTTTCTCCTCTGCTTCCCAACGTTGATCAATGTTCTCATTTATTCTACCTTGAACAGTCTAAAATGCAAATGACTCTTCCGTGAATTTGTCCACAATGGAATATAGCTTTTTGCTTAGTTTACCATAACTTTCGAAGAGGAAACGATCGAAGGCCAAAAAAATGTCACCTGGAAATGAAATGCGCGAGACCGAGACTAAAACTGTCGAATAAGTACATCCACCGGAATAAAAATGAAGCTTAGTGGTACATTATTAAATTGAAAATGTAAAGCCGTATACACAAACTGTCTCTCACAGTTACAGTAGCAAGGAAGCTTCAAGAACAGGTCAAATTGAATGTGATTACTAAATTCCAATTCTATTTTAAAATTAAAACCAAAAGGAGAATTTCCTTACCAGCCTCCGGATGTTCTACTGTCACTTCTGGTGTCCACTGGCCAGCCTTTACGTAGCCTCTCTTTTCCATGCAAAACAGAAATCCTCCATCGCCCACAACGACCTCGCCAGCATCTAAGCGCTCTAAGATTCCTCGCTTTTGTGGTAGAAAAGCAAAAAAACGAAAAGGAAATATTTAAAGGATGTGCCTAAGATTCAACGTACCGCGGGGGTTGAGAATTTGTCGAGGACCGCTTTTTCCACTCACCTTAGGCATAGTATTCTTGTCTTCCCTGAAGAACCGCACTAGCACTAATATTACTTTTACTGAGAGCGAGATCACTAAACATGTTACTCATGCACACAGGCTTTTATCCCATGTAGCGGGCCAAACCTGTTCGGGCGACGTGTTTTGACTAGTTTTTAAGTGATCAGACAGGACGACCATGTTCAGCGTTCAAGGCAACTTTGCGTATATGCAAAATAACAACAAATTCCGTGAATTTCGAATACTCATCATTTGCAACTTAGAGATGTAAAATTTCCAGGAGAAAAAGGGGTGCATTTCCTTTGTCGAGTGACTGCTAAAAGTTAGTAAATATTTCTTCAGGAAGTCACGTATTAAGTTGTCTTTGTTGCCAACTTTGTCATTGTTGACTTCCTGTTATGTCCTGTTACATAATTCCCACACTCAACCTTTCCGAGTCTCGCTCCCGGGGCAGAAGCAATGTCATGGGATTAGGAGGCCCATCTGACCGCGACAGAAATCGTAGATCTGGAAAATCAATAACATAAAATAAAATAATGAAAAGAAAAAAGAATACCAGAACACTGTATTAGTTCCTGAGTGCTTTAGGTTTGATTTAACCGATACGATTCAAGTTCAAGGACTCTTACGACCGGACAAATGTTGTATTAAAAAAATCGACGTTTTACGTTTATTGTGCTAAAAAAATTTTTATGGAGAATATGTAATATAAAAAGATATTCTGTGATCGTAAGATTTCTTTTTGACGGCATTCTTCTCAGTAGCTTTGATTCAACAACTTGAACTTTACGCTAATAGCTTCTTTTCATGCACTCGACTTGTTCCAAATTAACGATGAGCACGTGATCACACAAAGGCGGAAGGACACAAACACAAGTTGTATTCTTTTAACAAGTACATCTTTTTTTGCTGTGAGATCATGTGTTAACAAATCCTGACTGACAAGGAGAACAAGTGTTAAGAGTTTGAAATGGCATGAGTTATCAGAATTATCTGCTCTGTGAGTTGTTCGTTATGCAATTAATGTATGATGTAATTGTCATAGTTGCATATGATTTGAGATCGAACGCATAAATGTTATTGCAATTTTACTATATCGCCATTTGTCTTAGGGTTTTCGGCTCTCGCATTCCAACCACACGCGTGCAATGACGGATATCTGGATATTATTATTCATAACATAATTCATAAACAAAAGTAATCCTATTGAAAATAAAAGGAATTTCAAAGTGCCAACCTAACTTAAACGCAAAAATGCGAATACATTTTGCTGATTTCGGTCTGTCGTACAGCCGTGAATGTTTACCATCACCACTTTTTACAAAAATTGTCTTTGTTATTCAAATACTTACTATTTACTTAGCGAGAGAAACAAAAGAATCTTTTGTTTCAAGAACCAATGCGCATGGGTTGGCACATGGGTTAGATTGACGTCAGCGTGAACTTCGATATTTGTATAACGGCGGCCTTTTGTACAATGAACAACGTTTTTAAACGTTGTTAAAACAATGAACAGTCTTCCGATGAGGCAGAGTGAGATAATCCCTTGTAAGACTTGTAAAGCGGAAATATTGAATTGATCACAAATTGCATTAAAACAAAAATTGCAACTACCGCGTGGCACGAAATTTTTGCGGGTTCTAATTGCTGTGATTTTTCCAGCCAGCGATCCGCAAAAAGAAGTCCAAGCAAAAAAAAATTACCGCAAACATTTTCCCGCAAAAAATTTAGTCCAGGATAAATATTCTCTCACTTAAATTCGAAATACAAAAATACATGCAAGACATCGTGTCTGTTCTTGTTTGCAATCGTATAGCGAAGAAAAGTAATATTTTTACTGGTTTTACATAAGGTACCCACACCGTAGTACAGTGGAACCTCGATTTAACGAAGTGCCAAGGGACTGGAGAAATTTGTTCGTTAATCGAGGGTTCGTTCAATCGGTAATTTAACGAATCCATCCATTTAATGAATTTTACTTACGCTTGTGGATTGTGTTCGCTATAACGAGGATTTCGTTAAGTCGAGGTTCTGTTCCATTTCCCCTACTCTCATTCTTGAGGCGATGGCGATGAATTTCTCACACGCTTTTCTTTGGACAAACAGCATGCGTTCGTGAAGAAAGCAGCTGGTCGTTATCTTTATTCTCTTCGAATTATCAATAAATAGATAAAGAACTCCTACGAAAAAATTCGGTTAGCTCTTGCTTCCGATCTTGATTCCTATATATTCATCCTTTTTATAACTTAAAATTAACTTTTTCATTCACTGTATTGTTCTCAGTTCATGGTGCATCAAGTGATTAATACATGTAATTCACAGACTTCGGCTGAAGGGTAGGCTCAGCGACAATTACAAAGTTACATCATCACAGTCACGTCAGGTCAAGCGTACCGCCCTAGATTCCATCAATGAATCGATTTTTTGAAAAATGAATCCGTTAGTCGTTGCCGCAACCAGTATTAAATTTTAAAAATCTGCATTCCTGCATGAGTAATGAGCACTAATTTTTTGGCTACAACTTCTCAGTATTCGGTCAGATCGAAAAAACTTTGAATGGATAAAATTGCTTTGAACGCATTAATGACCATTTATATCAAATTCCAGAAAACTGAGCTGGTAGAAATTTCATAACTATACCTTGCATGTGAATTCACTGCTTATTACGCATGCAGGAATGCAGAATGCAGAGATGAATATGAAATCTTCAACTACAGTTGTACTAACGGATTCAACTTTCGAATAATAAATTCATTAGTGGATTCTTGTGGGGTACGCTTAACCTGGCTTGACCTTTATTATCTTCTGCAAGAATGTCTTTTACAGAGCCTTTTCATTTTTTCCGCTGGCTCTGTCCCAATACAAATATTTGTTTTAGCCTTCAGCAGTCCCCAGTAGTACAGTGACATTTACTGATGCCGTACGTCTCACATCTAAAGATCTGCCAAATGCCTGAGTATTGTCATCAGCATTACCTGTATTTCCTAAGGTTTTTGTCTCAGCTAATTTCAAAACTGTCCACTGTTCTTTCCATTGACTTGTGGCCCCTCTCCTGGACACTCCCATGATGTCATTTGACTTGGGTGTAAGTGACTCATTTCATTAGTGTCTTCTAACTGATGCTGGGTACACTAAAACTACTGCCGTAGCTGTCTCCTCTCTCAGCTGTGTCCAATGTCCTGTTGTTTGAGTCATTTGTGGTCTGAGGTATGTCTGCTGTCTCAGAGGAGTCACCAGAGCTTTGTGTCTGATGCAAGCCACTCATGTCTACTGTCAGCACATTGTAACCAGTGTCCACTGTCAGGTATGTGTGGTCAGCATCTACCATTTCTGTCTGACAAATACCACTCATGTCTACTGTCTGCACACTATAACCAGCTTCCACTGTGAGATATGTTTCATCATCATCTACTGACTCTTTCTTGCTTTTCATTTCTACTGTCTGATTTTTTTGATCAGTGTCTACTGTCTCAGCATTACTTGTATCTACTGGGTAAATTGCATCACCAGTGCCTACTGCCTGACTTGCTTCATTTGTGCTTTCTTTCCTTGAAACCGCATTTTTCTCTTTGTCTTCTGTCCCACTTATGACTTGGTTTACTTGAAAGTTTAAAGCTTTGCCAGTAGAATTTTTTTCATTGGTTTGGAGTTCTTTCCTAGCAAAAGTTTCATTTCCTATAGAATGAGCACTCCCCTGATCTATGATATCTTCAGTCCCCTGTTGTTTAAAATGTTGCCCTTGATCTGTGGACTGACTATTAATTTCCATCTCTTGACTTTTCAAATATTCATTTTCCACGCTTGCTCCAAGTTCTTCCTCCAATTTTTGTATCCCAACTGAGGTTGCTGCCATTTTCAACAACAAAATATTCATCATGATAATATTATTTTTGTGCAGCGTACATGTATAACACAGTATTAATGTATTAACATACATGTAATCAATGTTTAAGCTTAGAAGACACCTACTGCTGGACAAGGCTGTTCACCCACAGCAATTAAATATTATTTATATGGACCATCTCCAGGTTACCGATCACTTACAAAAGTGTTATCTTCAAATGATTATCAAATTCAGAGGGAGTTTAGAAATATATCTGGGCCCCCTGGGTTTGCAAGCCTCTACAATCACGCATGATTCATACATGGTGCATGCTTCAAATTTATGAACCTTGACTTCAGGAAAAACAAAAAAACAAATACAGTCAACTCCCTCTAAGACGGACACCGTTGGGACTGGCAGTAAGTGTCCGTCTTAGAGATTTGTCCGTCTTATAGAGAGTCGAATAAAGGGAGTAAAGAAAGGCAGGGAACAACTCTAGGTGTCCGTTTTAGGGAGGTGTCTGTCTTATAAAGGTTTCCCGTTAAGAGAGAGTCGACTGTACCTGTTATTTGGTTACCTACCTTTAGGCTGGGAAGATTTTATTAGTAATTCATGTATAATGATTTTTTTTTTTATTGAAACTGCATACAGCCTGTAAGAGGAACCTACCATTAAATGCAGGTCCATACTGTTTTGCCAGCTTGGTTTTCAAATTTCTACAAATAAAATAAAATACCAGTAAGTAGAAGTGAAGACATAAAGGTAATGAATTCACCAATCAGATTGTCAAGTGACAAAAATAATTATATTGGCTTAAAACTCAGTTTAACTTGAGCATCCCTCATGAAATTAAATCTCCTCCAAATTGGTTATTGTTTGATATTCGAATAGCAATTAAAAGCGTGAAAGTTGGTCGGGAAATTTAGTGACACAACACAAAGTTTGTGCTGTATATAATTATCACTAACATTGCCCCTGAGTCATTTACTAATCAAATGGAGACATTTCTCGAAGTAATCACTCCATGAAAAACTTCTGGCCATGAAGTTTTGGATTCTAGCTTATTCTTAATTATTCATGCCTTTCACCCAATAACTACTAGCATTTTCTTGGGATTGTCAGGCAGGTGAGCACCGGTATACATTAAATTGCAAGCCACATAGGAAGAGTACAGTAGGCCTCTCTCCTGGCTTGTACATTTTCTACATTACATCTTGTTAAGCCTGTCCAACCATCTTGCCCACTTCACTTACTGCAAAAGGAGAGTTTTTTAGTAGTCAGAGCCCACCCAATAAATGGACCTAGTGAGCAAAAGTTACCCCCAGTTGGAAATAAATATTTTTCACTCACTCACTTGCAAACTTGAAAGGCTCACTTGCACAACAATCCTGAGAAACTACTAGCAGTCCTATACCCTCGGGTGGCTTTACAATGCCTCATGGATGGGTACATAAGGGTACATCACCAAACTACAAATTTTGGTCAGTCAGTACTCCAAGCTCATTTTTTTTCAAAGTCGCCTTTTGGCGACTTAAAGTTTAGTTGCCAATATATTTTTTTACTTGCCATGGTGACCAAAATGGTCGCAGCTCAGAGCGCTGAAAGTGGTAACAAGAATGTCAAAATAATACATTTACATGTACATGTAATGAGAAAACAACTCTGCCTGTTTGTCACACTTTTGGCACATTTCTTTGCCGAAACTGTATGACTATGATGTGAAATTGCCTGATGTCACGTTTTAAGGTGGATGTGAATGAATGACCACGGTTCGTATAACTTCAGACAAACAAATTTCAGGGACTTTTCAAGGACAATAAAATTACAGTTTTCAAAGACTAAGATTTAGTCAATAAATCGGCATTCTTTAATGCTCTTTGAACACCTTATTGGCTAAAACACTTAAAGGAGTCATTTATGATTATTTTTTTACTTCTTCAGCCATGGTTGAACTGTAACTGTACAACACTTTGCAAAATGACAACAGTCACTGGGTGTGACTTGCAGTTGAATCTGAGGCACAGAAAAAGCATTTGAAATAAGGAAACAGAATAAAATATTGTTCATGTTCAAAAATGTTCTTACAGGCTCTTACACTGAGGATGAGCAGGGTTGTCAAAAAGTTTTGAAATAGATTGCTGAGTTGTCAAAGTAAGCGACCAGTCCAGGGATATTTTATTTAAAAAAACACCATCCTTTAGGAAATGCCAATCAGAGTAGCTGGCCGATACTAACCAAGTAGGTGGCAATTTTCACCAGCAGCCAGCTATGTTTGACGACCCTGGACGAGTCAAATTTTCATCAGCGAAATAATCATAATTCCACAGAAAATGGTGTGGCATAAACAAGGCAGTGAAATTCAAGGAGTTTTCAAGACCTAATAAGGAAATAAAGTACTTTTCAAGGACCTAAACTGAATTCAACGACTTTTCAAGACAACTACTAAAATTCAAGACCTTTTCACGATTGTATTGTTAACCATGATGACAACAATTTTTTCCTTCTTTTATTGGTCTTAAATGCAGTCTCTAAAAATTTAACTTCAGGAAAAATTTGCCTGAGACTGACTACACTTTACATGTAATAATTATGTTGAAGTTTGAAAGGATGTCGTACATTCTGTTAGGGATGTTTTCACCGCCATTGTCATCGTGGTTGTGTAAAACTTCCTACTGTCAATATCTCAACACCCATTTGCTGGCTCCAGCTGCTTAAATAGTGGAAAGTGCCTTGCACTGCACAATGTTCTATCCAGTTAATTCCCTGATACTGGATAGTTAGAAATTTTATTGTTGGATGGGGCTTGTAGTGGTATACATGTACTTATATTGCTGGTTTGCACGTGACGTCACGGCGGCCATGTTGGTGGTCAAGAACAAAAGCATTTCTCTCCTCTGGGAACTAAACTCTATTTTCATGTAAATTCTTCGAGAAAAAACTCTATTGTATTGACCCCCAACATGGCCGCCTTGTCATGTGATTGCAAACCAAGAATGAACATAGGTACGTTAAACGTGCATGAGCTATTTTGAATGTTTCAGTGTAACTTTAATGCTCCGGTGTAACCTTACCAAGAGTGATCAATCTACCTCTTTCATCCTAAATGTAGATTAGGTTTTGTGCGAAATTGCGTATTGTGGTACAAAATGAAAACGCGAAATGCTCAGCTGAGTCGATCCTCAAGCTATATATTCACTTTCCTCTGTCTTTCCCTGTTACATCTGGTGCAAGTTAAACAAATCGTTAAAGTGAAATAAATTTCTACTCACCAAACGTTGATTAGAAGGAAAACTCTAAGGTTTTCTCGGAGTTTCTTAAGCCAAAATGTGACTCATCGAATACTGAATAGTTACGAAATACCAGGATTTTTATCATTGTGGTAGATGGTTGCATCATCATAATTCACGAGGTTTTCACGTGCGATTCTACTCAGTGAAACAGTCTTTAACTCCGACAACTTATTTCTTCATGTTTTAAAAGCTATTGCTTCTCAGAAGACAAGAGCCTTTTTTAAGGCATTGGTTACAAAACGAAACAGGTCTTCATACGTCCAAGTTACTATTTATCATTGTGAAAAGCCAATCTGCATGAGATGTACAGTCACACAGCTGGCTCGTGAAAGTGTTGGACTTTGCCCCCTTTCGTCGTTCGTACGTGAGGGAATTCGAGTTATCACACAGTAAACTAGCTGAGTAAACAGAATTATAAAAATAACTCACGCACACAATTTGCACGTGAAGGTGTTGGTCTTTGGCCCTTTTACAATTCGTACGTTAAAAAAAGGCAAATTCTTCACTACAAAATTTTCTCAAACGATTTTAAGAAATCACCTCGGCTTCATTATAACATCTGCAATTAAATTATGTTTCATGCAACGTCAAGGTTGATAACCTAACATTTATTAACAAAATTTTGTGAAACGGTCTTTAACTCCGACAACTTATTTCGTCATGTTTTAAAAGCTATTGCTTCCTAAAAGACAAGAGCCTTTTTTAAGGCATTGGTTACTAAATGAAACAGGTCTTCATACGTCCAAGTTACTATTATTATTGTGAAAAGCCAATCTGCATGTGATGTACAGTCACACAGCTGGCACGTGAAAGTGTCGGACTTTGCCCCCTTTCGTCGTTCGTACGTGAGGGAATTCGAGTTATCACACAGTAATCTAGTAAACAGAATTATAAAAATAACTCATGCACACAATTTGCATGTGAAGATGTTACAAAATTTTCTTAAACGATTTTAAGAAATCACCTCGGCTTTACTACAACATCTGCAATTAAATTATGTTTCATGCAAGGTCAAGGTTGATAGCCTAACATTTATTAACTTCCAAGAAAATTATCAAACTGCCGAAATATATTTCTACTTATATCATGATTATTGTGTCAACTAGCTTCCTCCAATTTTATTCCCTAACGCCACTGTTTCTACTTAAGTTACGTATCTTTACTAAATAGAACGAAAAAGGTCGGTTGAACTTTGTAAGCGAGAGAATAATATTTTTAAAGCTTGTTTACAGGATTAACAATACTCGATACAGCTTTCAAAAAAATAAGCTGCCTTTTAAACTTCTAAAACCACATTTTATAGGGCGCATACTTTCGAATAAAAGTCTATATCTAAATATCAACTATTGCTTCATTGGAAGAGATTTGAAAATATATGATCTTTTATACTCTACCCAGTTGTAGCAGGTAAAACAGAACTCACACTGACGTGCATTGTACCGATAGCCGAATTAGATCAGAAATGCCTCGAAGCAGCATCCACATTTAAATATGAACCCTTAAACAGTCGCATCACTGTTCACAGCGTTTGAATCACGAAGATATTTTATGTAATGCTTCCAAACACCTGTACCCGTCATAAAAGACGAAAAAATTGTGAAGGATCAAGATGGCGGTCTCAAAGTGCCCTTGTTCGACCTTTACCAATGCCATGTTTAAGTAGATGCTAAGATCTCATTGGTTCCTAAGAATCAACTAATAGTACCTTCAACCTTATTGGCTCTTGCAACAAAGATCCGAACATACAAAGTTACAAAGCCACAAAGATACATGCGCTCACACCACTGACATATGAGCTATTTTTTCAAAATAGCTCAATAAGAAACAGCTCTTCCAAAAGGCAAGGCAACCTTGTCCCCTGGGCTTTCTCTGTTGCTGTCCATTTTTCTGGCAACTGACCAGTTATTCCCCGGCGTTGACCAAATTTTGTCAGTGCTAGCTGGTTATGAAGAATAAGCCAGGGGATTTGAGCCAATCAGAAATGAAGAAACAAATATTTTTAATTAATAATAATGATTAATTATATGGTAGATAATCCTATCCAACATTTGAACAACTGGGGCTTGGTGTTCAATCCCCACGCCTTGAAAACAGTACATGTAGCTGTACATAAGCTTACCTTATTCTTCTGAATACAGAGTCCAAATCTTTTTTCATATCCAGCAGCATCTTAGTGTGACTTTTCAGCTGCTGATTCAGATATAAGTATCGTGCAGAAGATAAGTCATTGAATCTTCCAAATTTTGCATTAGTTTTCTCAAATTTCCTCAACCTGTCAAAAAAAAATATTGACAATGCATGTTTAACTTGTGACTCTACTCAGTACGGGCTGTTTATGAGATTGAAACAGGATACTTACGTTTCAGTCTGTATGTCCAGAATTGACTGGACATCTTGTTTTTCTATCATTCCTCCCATTTTTTGACAAAAGAGGTCCGCTGACATGAATTTCTCTTTTACCTTCTCTGTCTGCTGTTTAGAACATCTTGGCGATTCTGTTTTCTTACGCGCTGATCGTGCCACGGTGCTATCATCAGAAACTCTAGCATGTAATTTCCCTGTGGGATTAGAAGAACTGATGCTCTCTGGTTCTGAAAGAGACGCCATCGCCAACAAAAGGTTCAGTGAACCGATAATCAGGAGGAAAAGATATCACAGACTTGCACGAACTTGATCCCGGCCATTTTGTTTTACTAGAAGGACTGGTAACGATATTCAGTACATTTCGTTTAGAATATATAACGTACCCTACTATTAATAATGGTTTTGCGGTGCAAATATAATGCGGGCGACTCTTCTAAAATCTAAAATGGCCGATGGCGGGAAGGCCGTTCAAGCGTTCAAGTCGAGCACATCCTTTTCTCCTCTTCTGGAATTGAAATCATTTGATGTAACATGTTAAGATGCTGCTGATGTTCCAGCTGGATTTTGTTCCTGTGCAAAGTTGTTGTGGTGATCCAGCAGGAATCATCCAGTTAGCCATCGCGCTTAACGCAGAGCTGGTGCAAAATCTCTGGATTGACTGCCAATGGATCGCACGATTGATGGAACAAGGAGATCTAGATTGTCTCTTTCACGTAAACGAAAGAAAGAAATTGCAGATAGACAAGATACACTTAGCGTTAACTTTATAACTGATACAGAAAGAGACGATCACTCTTCGGCCGATATTGCTGTTCAATCAGAACAAGATTTACGAAAAGTTGATCAAAATTCTCCTTTTACAGATGAAAATAAGGTTACATGTAACTCTTTTGAGAAACTACCCGAATCAGTTAAACTTGCTTCACCCGACGAAAGACGCCATAAGAAGTCAAAGAAGGGCATAACAGCATGGCTTAACAAACCCCACCAACCAAACACCGTACCTTGTCCAATGTGCTGTAAGGCTGTTTTCTTGTCAAAGATAAACCAACATTTGGACAGCAACTGTGAATTACATACCAACAATGGAGTCAATGGTCATGTGGAAGAGACAAAAAGTAAATCAAACTGCAAAGCAGGAAGTTCTAATGGATGGAATTTACTGAAAGGTTACAAACATAATGTTACAGAGACTAACAATAAGAATGGGATCGTTCCCTTAAAAGTCTCTGACAGTTCAGATTTAAGTCTTGTTGCCTCTTTGGCTAGAATTGAGTCAAAGACAAAAGACAGAAATGAGCACAGCAGTGCTGTCTTGAATGACTGCGACCACATTGGACTATGTAATAATATGACTAAAGGGGATTCCCCTGCAGCACAAAACCATCACACAGAGGACATGACACTTTCAACAAATAAAAAATTTTCTGATGCCAGCAAAGATTTGCCTACAAATGAACAAGCAGATACAAGCACTTCAGAAGATCTGAAACTTCAAACAGACTCAAGCTTAAGTAGAGAAGGTGAAAAAAACTCTACAGTGCAAAACACAGAAAACACCGATGAAGATAACAAAGACTATGAGCCATATTATTTGGCTAATTTTAAGTTGGTTTTGACAAGTGTGTTGTCTAATGAGGATGACAAACTATTGTTTAATGAGCAAGACAATTACATTATTGATACCTTCAATGGTATGTCTGCGGATGAACAGAAGTTGTATATTCGCCTTTTTCAACGTAAACATGGCTGGTTTAGATGTGTCAAACTAGAATACCCAAAGATTTGTAAGAATCTTAAACCAATCCTTGATACCCTCACTCAAAAAGGTAAATAATTTAATTATTTTTCTAGTAAGCTCTGAAGCAAAATCTAGTGTCATTCCTGCCTTTTATATACAGTCAAACTCCGTTAGTACGGTCACTGAGGGGCCATTGATAGTGTCCGTATTAATGTGGTAGCTGTATTTAGGCAGTAAATGTAAGGACTTTCTTCCCCAGGAACAAAAGAAACTGAACAGTCCTTAATAATGAGGTGTCCATATTAACCCTTTAAGTCCCAATGGTGACCAACATCAATTTTCTCTTAATTATATCCATACAATTTCAAGAGATATGGTTATGAGAATTGATGAAATGATCACCAAAGTGGAAATGCATTGATCTTTTATAAAATTCTCTCAACACATTCTTTAAAGAAATGTACGGAGGTTAGTTTGGAGAATATGTACATGGATATTGGGGCTTAAAGGGTTAGGTGGGTGTTGGTAAAGAAGGGTTTGGCTGTATCACACCTTTTAGTTACAAAAATTAATGCTCTTAATTTTCAAATGTCATTTCTGCTCAGGATTTTTAGAAGATGAACATGAACTCACAGATCTTAGAGAGGTATTGAAGCTGATAGCTGCACCAGAGTTAAAACTTTTGGTTAAATCCCTTCACCTTTGTACCAAATCTCCTGGACAGAAGACAGCTAGCACCAAGGAAGACACAATAGAAACAATAGTTAGCCATGCTGAGAACCAGAAAACTCTCTTTGGGAGCTTTAAAGGTGTTGTTTTAAAACGGTAAGAATTCATTGCACTTTTTGAGCCTTCCTCGCCTCTCAAATAAGTCCACTCCTCCACTTTGTCTGTAGACTTTTTAAAAGTCTTTATATATTTTTTTCCTGATTGGTTATCCCATTTTAAAGGAGATTCGTAACTGTTTGGCGCAAAATTCACTGATTGAAAATTCTACCGGTGACGTCATGACAATTTACCAGTAAGTGAGATTAATTTTAATTCCACTCCCGATACAGCAGATGTCAATCATTTTTTCCCTCATGAATTTATAATATGATTCAAATACATTCAGGCGAAACAAGTTGACCTCGATACTTCGTCGCTGAATTGCTCGGTCGCTGTACGACCTCATGCTTTGAAGCTCGTCTCACTCACTTTTAAGAATTTATGACAGGTCGACATGTAGCAAGTCTACTTTGTCGGGTGAAGAAAGTAATAATCACCACCTCTTCTTCCCTCTCTCTTCTCCCATCCCCTTCCCCGCGTTTTCTTAAATGATAGACTCTATTAATTAATCACATGCTGAAAGCTGGCATTTGTTTTTGATCTTTGGATGCATGACCTTTAACTTCATGTGCCTGATAGTTTTTAGCTTTTAGTTTAACCCCCCTCTCTATTACATTAAGCCTCCCCTCAAAGGTGCATGAAATAAATAACCTCCCCCCCCCAAGGAGCATAATAGAGGATAAACGCTAAGTGTGTGCCCACTGACTTTTTAATGCAGTTTTAGTTTTGTTCTGATAGTGCAAAGCAGGCCCTTGGGTCTTGTGTCCGACTGACAGCTTTTCCCAAAGATGTGTTTTGCCGAATTCTGTTGTTATTTACCATGAATGTCATCCCGGATGAGGAGGATTCTGGCACAAACAATGGACAAGCTCAGCAACTGTAAGCTGCAAGTAAAATCAAACTAAGCTTTATGTATTAAGTAGGGCATTTTATAAAGGGTAAATGGCTTGATAGTGCTGACAACTGGTGAGTTAAGTGGTGCCTGTTACAGTAGTCACACTGTAAAGTGGAGTCATAATAATTTATTATTGTCACCTCTTTGCTCTAACTCTCCAAGGGGTAGCTAGGTGAGTCCCTTCCTGGGGGTTTTGGTGAGGAGGGGGGCTAACACTAGCCTTGGCAAACTTTTAAAACAAAAATGGAGAGAGCCAGAGCCACCTTAAATACCATTGGCCACACAATACTTGAAAAAATTATGTACACACTGTCAGTTGACGCTCTCCTTGCGACCACTCTTGTAAGCGACCAGCTCTAGTAGTACAGAAAAATTATGCAACATTGTTCAAATTAGTGTTAAAAGCACAAAATTTGGCAGAGGTATAGGGGTCAATACCCTGAGCAATTCTAGATAGGGAGTCATACCCCAAAATGCATACCTCCAGTTTTATAGCCATGGATTTCTTTATCTTTAGAACACACAAAAAAAACAGTCTTGAAGTTAAAGCACGGGTCAGAAATTTGTAAGAGTGATTTAGTACAGTAAAGTGCATAGTACTACTCATAGAAACACACCCTTTGAGGGAAACTTCCAGAGTTACAATACATTATGATAAAAATACGTAAATGCCTGCACTGTTTAAGCTTGTACATTATTTAACTCTTGCATATTAATTTTATGGGTAAAAGTTAATGCTACAAATAATTCTAGATAAAACCACACCCCTTTTTAAGTACTTCCAGTTATACAGCTATGGAATTTATTGTATCAAAAAGGTCAGAAAAAGAGCATTTTTATGATGGAGTCACAAGATTCAAAATGTCACTGTGGTTAGCTACATTGTGTTGTTTATTTTTATGGATAGAACCATGCCTTTGGTGGATACTTACAGAGAAAAGATGTTACATTGGTATTACTGATAGTGTACAATTGGGTACCAAAAATGCGCGCACATGTCATTTTTCTGTTACTCCATCTTGTCAATAATATTTCAATGCAATCTATATATCTTAAAATGATGTCACGCCCATTATTGAATACTTCCAGTTGTACAGTCATGGACAATGCCTAAGGTTTTAACCCGGGGATTGCAGCGATTGTTGCCAAAAACTCTTACGTCGACGATGCCCAGCCGTCCTTCAGTGATGAGTGTTGTGACTTTAGTTACATGTTGTAACTTACCTTCTGGTGTTGACAGATTTATGTAGGATTAGTTTTTGAACTTTAAACAATTGGACCTTTGATATACCACAAAATTCTGAAAATAAGCCCCCCCAAAATCGTAATGCAAAAAACCCTCCGTTAAATCACCCCTCCGTATATAAGCCCCCCGGTGGGCTTGTACTTGGAATTTGCCCTCTAATACAAAGTAAAACAAAGCAAAAATGGTAAATTTCCTTGCCACTACAAGCTAGCCCAATCGATTTTGAAACGCAAATTTCCCCCCGTACATAAGCCCCTCCGAATATAGGCCCCTCCAAAAAGAAGCCCCTCAAAAAGGGCCTTTGAAAAATATAAGCCCCGGGGCTTATTTTGGGAATTTTACGGTAGTTAAAAAAGAATGCATGGTTTTGTAATCATAAGGGAACTAAGATCAGGGTGTGAGCAAGCGAGATTAAAACTGTTTCAATTCAACCAATTGTTAGTTCTTTTTGTCGGTGTTACCGATGCCGGACAAAAAGTGGCAATTAACCCTCCCTGGACCGACTCTCAAGGAAATCGTAACCTGGAGTTCAGTTTCTTGTGAAGAATACAGTGCAGCGAACAGACCACGTTTGTAAACGACATGACGGAGCTTGAACAAGCTTTAGAAAAGATTGACTTTAAATTATGCCTGTTGAAATTTACGCGAGATGATTGACTCACCCAGAATCCAAGAA